GAAGGATCATTGGTTGCTCGGCACTTCTCCGTGGACTCGGAATTCGCGTCTGCACCGCCGGTAGCGAAGGCTAGTCATTGTGCATGCACCTTGGCCTGCGTATGTAGTCCAAATCGACAACTATTGTTCCCCTGCCGTCGGGCAACAAAAGACGGTGAACAACAACAAGTCCGAAGGATTCAAGTCTCGTAAACACCCTTCACCTCAGCATCGCAGATCTCGAAAGCTTTGCTCCTCCGGTTTACCTTTCGCCAGATCGGGTATTCGCCTGATCTAAACACTTGCAGCATCTGATTGCACCATTGCCGGGCATTCTTGAACACCCCTTTCATTCCGCGATGAGATCTGCTCGCAGGATGTGAACTCGCTCCCCTTTCCGAGCACCTGGTATGTCTACCTGGCTAACCAGTTTACCTTTCGCTTAGATCCGTGAACTCAATGCCTAACGAGCTATCCCACCATTCCTGAAAAATCCCGCCACAGTGAACGAATTGAATCGGGCATATCCGAGAATATCCATATTGTCTAGATCCCTCGATCGACAAGATGCTACATACAGACCAGACAAGCTTGATCGACACCACGCCTGCCATCCCGTATTGCCGGGTTCTGACACTCGCATCATACATACATACGGCCTGGGGTGCTTTCATGACGTCTGGAATCGCAAAAAAAAATATAAAAAAAAAAATTGGCAAGGCTAGGAGACAACGCCGAAGCCATTTCCTGCCATAGGAATGCGCCGTCCGTTGTGATCAGTCACCTTTTGCCCTCCCACATTCCCGCAGTGTTCATAAGATGGCGGGAAAGTGGAGAAAAACAAGGGTTCAGTTCATACTCTTGGGTCCGAGCGAGTCGTCTGCAAAATGCAGATCCTCTCTGGCCCTTCCATCGAGATCAGATTCTCGATCTGGTCAGTCGTCGACGCAGGTACTCGGGCTTTCTTCCAGCGCGTAACTTCCCGTGACCCGATCGGGTCGTCCGTCGAAGTTAATCGTCGGGTATGCATGCTTCTGTGCCGCCCGGAGCAAGAACTTTTGCGTGAGCGCTTGAGCGCAGTCTCACATTGGCATTGTGCCCCTACGAGAATGGGCCGTCTCACCTTGCTCAAAGTCCGGCATTATTCACACAGCACCACACTGGCCCCCAGGCGAACCAATCTGTCAGTCTTATTTTGGATATGACAGGTCGCCGCGCTACTCTTTGCCCCCCGGATATAGTCCCGATCTAGACCTGCAATCTAGGCTTTGTGGAAGGTTTCTGACACCTACAGTAGTTCTGCGCGGCAGGATCAGACATGCATCGGACGGAGCAGAAGAACGAACACGTACTTTTCTTAAGGCAATGTACCTGATGCATGTACTAAAGTACGACAAAGTAGTTAATGGCAGCAGTCCACAATTCTTGCCGATCGCCTCGAAATCGACCACTGGCCACACTTTCACTTTGTGTGTCAATGGGGCGAAGGATGAAAAGTGGCCCTGCCCTGGCTAGCTGTGGGCGGCCGCTAGACGAAACATCCGCGCTCCAATCAGAGCCCTAAACAGTCAGTTTCCGGGGAAGTCGGAAGCACAAGTACGACCATGGTACTGTCGGTACTTAGTTTTCCTTAGAGGATCCACTCGGACAGACAGCCTTCCTTTCCACTTTCTTGTTCATCTAACAGGAATCGCGGTTCCACACAGGTGGCGCCAGTTACCATCATACAAAGCACCGGGACGCTGGATCCGGTGCCGCGACGGGGAATAGCAGGCAAAAGTCCCAGTCACAATTTTAGATCCCTGTACCGATTTTCGCACTATTGAATCGGATGTCGGTCATGTGAATTTCTTCCCCTGGTTCTTTTTCTTTTCCTCTTTTCGGGCTTCTTTTGTTCCACATGGAATTGGGCCCGCTCCTTGCCTGGCGCATACTACCCCAGCGGAGAACGAACTGGCCCTTTGTTTGACCGATCGCACCCCTTGGTGCCTCGAGCGCCATTGCTGGAATCGTACCCCGCCACTGATTATTAGTGTCGCGCCACATATCCCATGGGATTGGTTCGGTTCAGATGAAGGATTCCATGCACTGTACTCCCTATGGAAAGTTTGTAGTACTATTGTACGACAGGATTTAGAACTTGTCAAAAAGTACAATACATAGTACTTCGTACGTACGCGGGGGGTGGCCCGACCCGGGGTGAAAACAGCTGAGTGATAGATACACTATCCCGCAGCATATCTCATGCAACCATCGTCGTCACATGTGATGACATTGTATACAATGGCACCAATAATTTTGGGCTAGATAAAAGATATTGAGGTGGATGTCTACAATACACATATCCACAAGTCGAGAAGGACCACCATTAAATCAGATACACTTTATTCTCAGGGAACTGTGCTTCAAATCTTCAAAAGTAATGGATTCATTTTATAACACTCACTGTTATTGTGATTGCCTTTCCTCCATCCAGAATGATGCACCGGTCATTTAACTACTGTAGCAGGGGTTCCCTTGCAACATCAATGATCTCTCGATTCTAGCGACCTCTGACTATGCCCCATCCCAGCATGATTCCAAATACGCAAGACCAAACACTCGGAGGAACGTACCATGTTCCTAATAAAGTCGGCAGTCGGCATTGCATGCATGTCCATCATGTATCTGTCCGTCATCTGCGACCCTTGATCGTCCTGCATCTACATCTGTCTGGGGTACTAAAACACTAATGTGGGATTTGGACGAGGACCCCGGCCACTATGGTCCCTACCGCTGTAAAATATGCTTCGGGCATATGAACAAGGATTTACTGGCTTGAAAATAGTCGATATGTATTCGGCAGTTGAATGCACGCCGAGACACTGGCAATGCAGGGGCCCAGGATGTGAATCTATAGATCAAAAGTACATCCTTCGATCTTAGTTTCCGTCACTTGCAATCACTTGCAGTTTGCCGTCTAGCAAACTTTAACAGCTGCTTCGAGGCTAACATGGTCCTCCCCTTTTCTCGATGGCACATATTGTATACTCCAGTTGTCAATGAGATACTTATCTTTATACTTAAGTCTTATCACACGTGACTCGAGATATCGATATCCCTTGGCGACGCAAACTCACCCAACACTTCGACCAGCTGAGCATGGCCCATTCACGATTACTTCTCACTCTGCCCAAATGCAGATGCAGAATCCCTACCGCCTCCATCCCCTTCATCACACGTGGACGATGGCAGAGCACCGATGCCGCTGACTTACCTCATTTGAACCCACCCCCGGACGACTATTCGCGCTTTATCTTTCAAGACAAGTGCCGTGTGACAGTCCACGCCGGATCTGGCGGTCATGGCTGTGTTTCGTTTCTGCGGGAAAAGTACGTTGAAGAAGGACCTCCGAACGGCGGCGATGGCGGCAGCGGAGGAAGCATTTACATCCAAACGGTGGAGGGATTGACGAGTCTACACAAGCTCGCACGCAGAGGCGTGATTAGAGCCAGTCGCGGCAGAAACGGACAGGGGAAAAGCAAAGGGGGAAAACGCGGCAACGATGTGTTGATCCAGGTTCCTGTCGGTACCGTCGTGCGCGAAGTCGACCGTGACGATCCCGTCGCAAATGAACTAGCTCGTTTGAGGAGCGAGAGACTTCTGCGTCAACAAGAGCCTGAAAATGAAGAAGAGACGACGGAAATGTTCACTCCTGTTCGCCACGACCGCTGGGTGTTGTATCCCGGGGCCAACCCCTCCAATTTTTTGACGGTGAAATTCCCTCGATCAAAGCCACGGAGGCAGCATATCGCCGCGATGGAGCCGCAAGCCCCCATCTTCCTTGACCTCTCACAACCAATGGACAAGCCATTGCTGCTAGCCGCAGGTGGCGCGGGCGGAATGGGCAACGCACACTTCGTCACTAGGAACATGGGTCGACCGGAATTTGCAGCCCGCGGTGAAGGCGGCATGCGGTTAGAGCTAGACTTTGAGCTCAAGATCCTGGCGGATATTGGGTTGGTCGGAAAGCCCAATGCGGGCAAGAGCACGCTCCTCCGCTCGTTGACCAACAGCAGGACGCGCATCGGGAACTGGGAATTCACCACCCTCTCCCCCCAGATCGGGACGGTCATTGTTGATGACTACAAAGGTCGACCACTGGTGGAGTCGAAGGGGAAGATCCCGCGCACGCACTTCACTATTGCAGACATTCCGGGCTTAGTGGAAGACGCTCATCTCGACCGCGGGCTGGGTCTAGGGTTCCTCCGACACATCGAAAGGGCTGGGATCTTAGCTTTTGTGGTTGATCTTAGCGCCGGAGACCCTATACAGGGTCTGCAGAAGCTATGGCATGAACTCGGCGAGTATGAACGCCTGGATGAGGTCGAGCCGCCGGTCGATGAGAGTGAAGACGGAGACGTGATTGAGTGGGATACCTCTGGTTCTGGTCTTCCGGAGCTTGATCCCACACGAAGTCGCCGTCGGAGTGAACTGCCAGCCGAAACCCCTACCACCGTCCGGAAAGATGGCTCTCTACCTCGTCTCACATTACCGCCCATCCACAAGAAACCCTGGTTCGTGGTGGCTACCAAGGCTGACCTAGAGAACACGCAAGACCGGTACAAGGACCTCCAGGAGTACCTAACCGCCGTTGAGAAGGGACAGGCAGAGCATCCGTCTGGACATGCCGATGGATGGAAGGAATCACTCCAAGCTGTGCCGGTCAGCGCCATGAGAGGCGAGGGCGTCAGTCGCATCCCGAAGCTAGTGATGGAGTTTCTGGCGTAAATGGATGCATGAGATAAGTTTGTATATTAGATCTGTATATTAATTACAAAAATAATACCCTATGAGGAATTGGCCTAGTCGCCTGTCTAGCTGTGTTTGGCCGGAGTGCCTTCTTTCCATGTCGACTGAAGCACGCCTCCGTCCGTCATTTCACTTCTTCTTCTTCTTCTTCTTCTTCTTCTTCTTCTTCTTCTTCTTCCTAAACCTATTTCCATGCCCTCCATCACGTCTTCCTCTTTCATGTTGTTATCATGAGCCTCAACGCCACCATCCGCGACGCATTCTCCGCCATCACCTCATCCTCCGACGACCTGATCCGGCAATGTCTCCCCGACTCCCCCACCCTTCTCTTCTCCGACCCCGAAAAAGCTCTTGAGCTCGCCGACGCCAAACTACACGTCTTCCCCTTCAAGGATGTGCACCTTTGCTGGCGCAGGCTGTACACAGACGCGTCCATCGTGAAAGTCTGTTTCACGATCATCCGCCACTGCAACCTTGCGCGACTCGACTACAACCTGCAACCCGACCCCCACCACCTCCTCGAACAGCTCAACAATAATGCAGACCCAAAGATCAAGATCAGTCCGCATGCGGGATGGCTCTCCGAGGCCATCCACGCCCTCGACAAGGCTCTCATAATGACCGGCGCCCCGCGCCGCGAGAAGCTCATCGAAACCCTGCTCTCCGCGCTGCAGGCCGCAACAGACGATGACCATAAACACCACGACACGGACGACAGCGACGCGCAGCAACCCCAATCCAAGCGCAGAAAATACTCGCCTCCCCTCTTTCCGCCCACTGCCGTCCCCGAGCCTCGTCTGGAACATCCCATCGCGCGCGTATCGGCTCCATCCTTCGACTCCATCGAGCACCATATCCACAATAGTCGCACTCCGCTTGTCATTACGGGAGCTGTGGACCACTGGCCCGCCCTTTCAACCCGGCCGTGGGCCTCGCGCGACTACTGGTGGGATCGCACGTTCGGAGGCCGCAGACTCGTTCCCGTTGAGGTGGGACGCTCGTATACTGATGAGGAATGGGGGCAGAAGATTATGCCTTTCAAGGAGTTTGCAGATACATATATCTGGCATGGCGGGCTGGAGCCCGGTCATGCGGACCAAAAGACCGCTGGTGCTGAAGGGATTGATGCCCAGACGGGGTATATGGCTCAGCATGATCTTCTTGCTCAGATCCCGGCCCTGCGAAAAGATCTCAGTGTCCCGGACTACTGCTATATCGATCCTCCCGCCGCGGAGCCGGGAACCCCGGTTTACCTGAGCAAGCTCAATAAGCGCAAGGAGGCACCGTCCAAGACTTCCAGGTCAAAATCTTCTCAAGACAAGCCGTCACCTGTTGTCATGGGGGAGACAGACAACGTCCCAGACGAAGAAGGCCCAGGCGAGGTGATGGCTCTCCCCAGTGATCCAATAATCAACACCTGGATCGGTCCAGCATGGACCATCTCCCCACTGCATCACGACCCATACCACAACATTCTCGTCCAGGTGGTAGGGAGCAAGTACATCCGTCTATATTCACCACATACGCCCGCGCACCAGATCCATCCCCGCGGTCAGGAATGGGTTGCATCGTCCGATGCATCCGCGAAATCGAAAGACAGAAGGGCAGACGACGAGAAGGAGGAGGGGGAGGTCACCCATAAACTCATCGACATGTCCAATACCTCCAAGGTGGACCTCGCTGCTATTGAACTGTCGCCGGCCGAGTACGAGCAATGGGATGACATGTGGCCCGGGTTCATGGAGGCGGAGTATGTCGAGACGGTCCTCCATGAGGGTGAGTGTTTGTATATTCCCGTGGGATGGTGGCACTATGTGCGCGGGTTGAGGGCCGGGGTTAGTGTGAGTTTCTGGTGGGGATGAAGATGATGAAGATGCGCTGGTTTTCTTCATGCTCCGCATCTCTTGACAGCCGGTAACAAAACAATTCAATTGATGAGACCAAGTATTTATGTACATCTGCATACCTCAGACACGAATGGCATGATACCTCTAATAGACAACCACCTCTTTATCATTAAATATCAGCTCTATTGTTCTCTTCTGAAACTGCTATATACGTCCATACCAGTAGACACAGTCTAACTCCAGGCCTCCACCAGCTCGCACAGCGTCTCCTCCCCACCCACATTCCCTGGAAACACAACAAAAGGCACACCACGATGTCTCGAGCTAGGTTCATCACATCGCCAAAGCGGCACCCCTGGCGCCGCCTGGCCGAGGACCGTGGCGCGCTTGACATTGAGTCCCTTGGTGGCTGCGTCGGAGGAGGTGATGCCACCCTTTTACGTGATATCAGCCGTCATGTCCAGTTATGAAACAAACAGAAAGAAGAAAGCAGGGAGACGTAAAGCACATCAACACATACCTTAGCAATAATATACCTCGGCCTTACCTCAACCCGCTGCAAGATGGCAACCAACGCCTCCGCAACAAGAGCTCCAATTCTCAACGACTCAACTTCATCACCACCGGTAACAAGGTCCCGACTCGTCATGACGAGTGTATCCTTCCCTTTACCCAAAAAAGACTCCGTCTCCCGCACAACCCGCTCAATAACCTTTGCGGCGCTCTCAGGGCCCGCAATCAGCTCGGTCACATTCATCTCGATGATAGCCAGCTCATCAGTGCCAGCTGGGCCGCGCCGCTCGGCCAGGACTTTAAGTTGTGCGGTTGTCTTGGGCACATAGGAGCCTGCGACGATGAGTGCGCCAGTTTGGCGCGGGGATGGGAGGTGCAGCTCGGCAGCGGAGATGGGTGCTTTGGAGCGTATTCCCAGGCGGGTTGAGACGAAGGCGGCGCCCGTGCGGTAGAGGAAATGCTTTCCTTTTGCTTCGGCTGGATTATATGATATTCATTAGTACGTGTCATGCAGGTATAATGCAGTAGCAGATGAAGATGAAGAAGATACTTCGTACTTACCCAGTAACAATCCCGCAACAAAAACATGCATATCACTCTCCGCCGCCGCATTAACAATAACCACGCCCCCAGCCGGGGCATTAAGCAGCTTCTCACAAACAGCATCGGGCCCACCAATTCGAATATCATCGATGGTCACTGAGAGCAGCTGCTCGGGCACGAACCGTCCCGGCGCTTTTTCAAGGACATAGTCCCTCAGACTAGAACTCTGATATCCGAAGGAAGCATCACGCGCAAACTGCGTCTTCCCCGCCGGAACGAGATCCGCCCCCTCAGCAACATAGTGCACATCATTGATGCTAAACCTTCCACCCTGGAAGAAGAACGGCGCTAGAACAAGCGCATCCGCAGGCCCGAAGACGGACTGCGCGACATCCGGTTCGAGCGGGAAATGTCCGCGCAGAGTGCTATCGCCGCGGAGGACGATGTCGACTTTTGTGTTTGTTTTCTTCGCGGCGGCGAATACGTTTGTGCAGATTGTGCGGAGCAGGTCTTCGGCGTCGGAGGGTGGGAGGGCGCGCGAGTTGGTGAGGATGAAGAAGCCACGTGAGGTACGGTGGAACTCTGCTTCGAGCGTTGCGGGGTCCCAGACTGTTAGCACGTTGATGTCGTGGCAGGTCTGTGTGCCGGTTGGGTCGTCGTCTAGGACGACGAGGCGATTGACGGGCGTCGTTGCGAGAGTTTGGGCGATTTGGTCTTGCGCGTCAGAGGCATACTCCTGTGGGAGTTGGACGAGAGTGGCTTCCCGGGGGAGGACGGGGTAGTCGGTTGGTTGGGTCATTATGTTGTCTGTCAAACAGGGTGTGATGTTGATGAAGAGAAGTGTAGTTTATAAAAGATGTGGGGGATACTTGTGCGGGGAGCGTGCGGAGAGAACGCCGAGCTCCCAAGTCGGACCCCAACCGGTAGTTACATAGCACATAGTAGGTGAAAATGTAGATTCAGGTATGGATTGCCCTACATGACAGAAACAAAAGCCCAACGCCGGGGCAGTCGGATAGACTGCTGTGAAAATGCCCATATAAGGTCATTATACATCCATGGATATACTCCCTAATTCATTCATTCCCACCTGCGCCCAGTTACCCTACCTTCGCAAATATCATATCCTCCCTCGTCCGAAGCGTGTAAACAGTGTGTGCAAGTTGACGGTCGTAGACTGCGTGAATAGTATGCCGGAAGTAATCTTCAGCCCACCACGCTGCGGAAGCTCAACGCTTCAAGGAACCCGCCAAGATCGTCCTTTTGCACCTCGACGACGCAGTGTTCGAAGCTGTCGATGCGCACCCGCGCATTCGTTTCTTGGACCACCTCTTGGAAGGCAATGCCGAATCGATTGCGGAGCAAGTGCTTGCTATCCTTCGTAGCATCCTCCTCGTCAGACTCCGATCCTGAGGATGACTCTGATTCGTCCGATTCTTCGTCTTCATCATCTTCATTCTCGCGTTCAGCAGCCCGTTGGGCGCGTCGCTCTGCTCGCTCCTTCTGCTTCTTCTCCTTTGCTTCCTTCTTCTTGCGGCGCTCTTCCTGTCGTTTGGACAACGCCGCAAAGTCGACCACTCCGCCGCCACCCCCGGTCCCCACGACCACATACAGATCTCGGTCTTCGTCAAGGCCAGCAAGAACAAGAGGAGTCCCTGCAGCTTTTTTACGGCCGATCTTCACAGAGTCGCCTCGTTCGCGCTCTTGGACTCGGATGGCTTCTGCGACCCATAGCGCCAGTTTCGTAAGGGCGCCGGGATTCGTGAAGAGCTTGACGTCGGGTCCATCTTTGACAACCGCAATGCGGAATGCGCGAAGATGCCGGATTTGATGTTTGGAGAGCAAGGAAGTACCCGTGCGGAGGATGGCACGGTGCAGGTGTTGAGCAAGAGGCAACGACTCCAAGAGAAGCGTCGGCGACTCGGATGTGAGCGAGAGCGCATCATAGGCACTCCAAAACCGGGGGAGAAGGCTGGCCAAGTCCGATTCGGAGGAACCGCCGCCATTCTCAATATCATCGTTCGTGCCTCGTGCACGCGGCAGACGTTTGGCATCCCATGCCGCGGAGGCCTCTTGCGGTCCGACTTCGAGCATTGCACCGATGATGACCCCCACATCCGTAGCAGAGAGACATGCCTTCCAGCCCCAGCATCTCACAAATCCCCAGCCTTCCCGAGAACTGGCGTATCCGGACGGTTCTGACGGCACGAGACCATCCAGGCCGTACATGGGTGCATACTTCAGGAGACGGCCGCGCAAAGCGCGCTTCAACTCCATGTCCATGTGTGTATAGTACTGGTGGCACTGTGTGAGACTGATGCCCATTTTGGCCAAAAGCTTATGCAGTCGTTTGCGGCCATTTTCCGTCCACACATGAAGCCTGGGGGCGAGATAGGGACTGTGCAGCATGCTTTCATAAAGTGACCAATGCCGAACTAGCAGGAAGCGTGGTTCGGGCGACAGGCGGATGGATGTATCGGTGGGAGATCGAGCCGTCGTCGGGATCACACCGTTGATCTCTCCTCTGATATCTCGATCTCGTTCAAAGGGGTCAGGCGGGTTGAGCCGGTGGACTTCGTCTCGAAAGATCTGACGGATATGTTCACCCCGTTGCCCACCCCAGCCTGCTGAGCCTCCTGATTCTGAGCTGTTCGAGATGCCCACGCCAGTCATAGTACGACCACTCAGCTCCAAACTTGACACGCCGACAATGGCGAGCCAGAGTAGGTCATTGTCCTCACGGCCGAGTTCTGATGCCAGAGAGTAGACTAGTGAGGAGATTGGTTCCGAGTATGAGGTACCGGACGAGTAGTAGCTTTGCAAAACGGTGTCATGTTTGCGTTTAAGACGAATGAGCCGCTGCTTCAATGTCCGTGCGGAAGGCTGCTTTGGTTCTGCCGGCGACGGTGAATCGGTTGTAGGCGTCACCGAGCGTGATGAATTTGAGGAATTGTGACCGGGTCTCCTGCGACGACTGGGAGATGAGTCGACAATCGAGTCATTCTTTTGGTTCATGTTAGTCCGGCTCCAGACCTATTGCAAGTAGTATCCATACCGAATTGCTGCGTCTCCGCTGCCGAGGAGGCCCATCATCGTCCTCCTCTGACTCGTCCTCATCCTCACGCCCGGACCAAGACTTGCGTTTCTTAGACCCAGGCTCCGTGTCTTCGTCGTCCGTATCCCCGCCACTCGCGTCATCATCGTCCTCATCCACCTCAGGCATCTCCAATAACGCGTGGTATGCCTCTCGTTCACGACTCATCTCCTCAATGTCACCATCATCATAAACAACAATACCCCCGTTCTTGGACGAGTACGCGGCAGTAATCCGCCCATTGTCAACCCCGCGCCCTCTCCGACGCGCATTGGCATCAATATCCGCCATGGGCTGACCCGCAACAGATTGACCGCCAAACACATTCCCCAGATTCCACGGCCGTCGCGCGTCAAACACCCAGATTTCCACGCCGCCCATATCCTCCGACTCATCCTCCGGACTCAGCAGACCCAAGCTCTCACCCAGATCAACCAGCCCACCTACTCCCAGACAAATCACGACTCCACCGCTGCCGCCGTTGGTGGTCTGCATGGGCTGGACCAGGTCCTCGCCCGCGCGCGCTAGGTCGCCATATCCCGCCACTGGCTGGATCTTGTGTGGAATATAGTCACGTTTCAAGAGCGCTGTGAGGATCCGGCAGGCGCATAGCGCGTCCGGCTCGAGGGCCACGAGAATGAGGACTGGCGGGGAGAGCGGGTGGTGGGATCGGAGGAGCTGGAGGTAGAGATGCGAGATCAGCTGCCTCGGGAGATACATGGCCGTTGAATGAGCACGACCATGCGGGAGTTGGGGGATTGGAGGTGACGGAGGTGGTGGAAGTGAGTTAGTGCAGAAGTTAGTTGATTGTTCCTGAGAGCGCGTCGCGCGCGTCGGGGGCTGTAGGGCACGTGCCAACGTCCGATCACCATCATTCCATTCTCTCCATCACCAAGACAAGATCGAGAAATGTGTGCTCTGATCACATTCAATTCGCCAGGTTCGAATGCAGCGGGCCGGGCTCTAATTTCCCGCCCGTAACTCAATTGCTCAAAAATTCTCCTTGATGAATGTCGTTGCTTATCCTCCCTGCGGGTATAGGTACAACGGGATATACAAACACGAATTATTCTCTAACAAGTACATAATGATGTATCTGTTATGATGATTCGTCAGTAAATATTCTGTGTTTTGTATTTTGGTTTTTGTTTCCGTTCGTTGAAGTGGTTCGTGTGATCATGATACTTGACGTTCCAAAATATATACTTCAACTACACAGGACCTCCCAAAGCTCCTCAACCTTCATCACAACCACCTCCGGCAATGGCCCCTTAGCAATATCACTCACATTCTGCACAATCTGGGAAATCTTGCTCGCACCCAGAATTACTCCGTCTCCCTCCCGCAGCGCAGAATGATAGTAAATCCACCGCAAGCAAGCTTCATGCCCTGTGATCTGAAGCGGCTCTATGGTATCCAAAAGATCCGAGACCGCCGCGTGCATCTCCGCCTTGTCATACATGGCATTGGTCCCCTTAAAGATCTTGTTCTCGGGATCGAAGCGCGTTCCTTGTGCTTCTCCGCGGGTTGCGAGGCCGGTGAGGAACCCGCCTGCTAGAGGGCTGGTTATGCAACCATCAGTCATTTTCTGGATCAAGAGAAGGGTGAGTTATGCACCTGTAGGCGTTGAATACAATGCCATGTTTCCGGAGTAAAGGGAAAAGCGTCTCCTCACTCTCCCGAATGAGGAGATTATATCGACCCTGAAAGACGCTCGGTTTGAGATATCCTTTCTCCTCGCAGACGGCGAGAAACTCTACCACAGACTTTGGCGAGAAATTAGACAAACCAAACTGTGACCCAGTCAACAACCATCCAGTACCATCCATATCAAGAGGGCAACTAATAATTACTTTATCAAAATGGCCCTCCTTGTACTGCCTATTGATCTCACCAGCCTGTTCAGCAACTGGCGTCTGGGGATCCGGAAAATGGAAATAGAGCACATTGACTTTGCTCGTTTTCAGCCGGTCAAAGCTGTTGGAGACGGAATGGGCGATGGCATTCGCCGCGAGTGTACCGGATGTATCGCCAGTTGGGGAATTCCCTGGGCTAATTTTTGTGTCGATGGTGAATCCCTGGTCTGCGGCTCGTACCTCGCCTAGAAGTCTCTCGGAGGAGCCGGGGTTTGTGGGTGCATATCGAGCTGCAGTGTCGATATGGCTGATTTGGAGGGTTTTCAGTTGGTCGAGAAGCTCTTGAACTTCTCGCGGGGTAGTGAAGCTGGTTCCAATTAAGGCGCCGCCGAATATAGTGTTTGGGGGAGACATCTTGTTATTGATCGGGTGGTTATTCGTATTCTGGTTGTTCACAGATCCAGTTCACTTTATATTAATGTTTACGACATTGATCGTTCAGCCGGGGGATGGCGGTTCCGGAGAACCCGTCGGAGATGGGCCATCCGACCGGAACGGGGTATAGCCTTATGACAAGGCTGCATGTCAATTATCAGACAAGATGCAAGTGCAATGGAATGGTATAGGGAAAAAAAAAGGCCTGGTATTCAAGACTAACGCCGTGCACCATGTTCGCATGCTATATACTCTCAGACTGGGTAAAACCAAACTGAGCTCCAGAAACACGATAACAAAGATATCAAAAGGCCCGCTCAAAGATTAAACCTTGCGTCCCAAGATGGATCCCGCCACCCAGACAGCGGTGCATGCTCCCACCACCGAAAGACCGACCAGCCGTTTGCCCCAGCTGTTGTCATCAGTCATCTTGGTGGACCCAACCGTCTTCTTCGGGGTCAGATGCAGCGAGGACGCCTCGGTACCATTATGGGAGGAGAGAATGGCCGAATATTCTTCATCGCGCTTGCGCCATTTCTCCACGAGCCGTGCAATCTCTGCAAGATCTTCCTTGAGAGACCCTGGCTCGGTCGAATTGGAGTTCTCTACTTCGACGTTTTGAACATTTCCAAAGAAATCCACCACGGTCCGCAGACGGCCTTCTTGCTCGCCACCTGGAAACAAGTCCCACCGGACACCGGGCTGAGAATGGATCTTCGATTCATCGTACGAGTCAAACAGATCTCCCAGGTTCAGCTTCGAGTTGGCGCTTGTCACTTGTGTCTCCAGGAATTCCAGCACGTAATAAGTCCAGCGATCAATCACGGCAACGCCCACGTCGTTGTCCGCATGGTGGGAGTAGGAGGACTGGTCGAGCTCACTAGAGCCGGTGGCGACAATATTCGGCGAGTAGAAGTGCGTGTACATCGTATTGGCCTGGCAGGTATCGATCATGAACAGCAGTTCATGGTAGCGTTTCTTCTCCCACATCTGACCAAACGCGTCGGCCAGATCCCATGCCCCGATTTCCTCGGAGTCCTGGAACTTGAGGAATTGGTCTCCTCCATGTCCGGTCATGTACACCAACACGTTGCTGCCGGCGTCCGATCCGAGCCGCTTGCTGCGTGGCACATCCGCGTCGAGGCGATCGGTTAACAGTCGGATGAAGTTCTCCACTGTCACCTCGTAGCCCCTGTAGTCCACTTCGATGTTGTCGCCGTAGAGATCGACGGCGCGGTCCGCATTACTGTAGACGGTGCCGGGGAAGGCGTTGCGAGGGTTGCAGGCCATGTCATCGGGGAGCATGAGAATGATTTGCGAATCAGGGATCCCGAGACGCTTGACGGTTCGGTAGAGGGAGAGGACATTGGCGAGGTGGCGGTAATTGAACCAGAAGCGCGAGGTGGAAACGAGCACTGCCCAGTTGGATGTGTGCTCGGCAGCGATTAGACTGATCAGGAGCAGGAAACACAGAGCCTGCAGACTGCGGAAGAGTAGAGCCATGGCGAGGGAAGCAATCAGCTCATATCAAGCTGCACTTGGGATATTTGAGATGTGCACAAACAAATCAGATAAGGAACACGCTTCAAAAGAAAATAGAGAAAGTGGGCTATATCAAAGCCATAATGATCGTGTCGAGATCAGGAGAAAGAGGAGCAGGGAGGGAGTTGGATGTCAAGGGAAGCTGGGGTGGATGACAAATGGCAATTTGCGGAAGGAACCCGGATGCGTGCCTGAAGAACACCGCCACGAACTATAACAAATCGTATCAGAGTGAAGGTGATCCTTAGTGACGTCGCGATTAATAGGACTGGGAGCAATCTACCCTATTTTCGGGGAAAAAACCCTTCCTAGATAATACAACACCTTTTCCTCACCTTCTCGTCTCACGGTTTACCTGCTTAGTCACCCTTCCCACCGCCTCGCTCGGAATCGGCATAATCGCTTCGTGGATGGACTGATCTATCAAATCACACTCGACTCACTTTTCCCGCGGTCTTTCAATCTCCCTCTTTCTCCAGCACCTGTACAGTACATCCAACCAAGCACATACACCACCAAAAGATGGGAGGCAAGAAAGCCGCCGGTGAAAATACCAAGAAAGCCGCCGGCAACGCTCGTGTATGCTTGCAACCCCGCCCCCGCCACGATTGCCACAGTCCTTGAAACGACCGGGCATGATCCCTAAGTGACAACAATGCTAACATTTCCCTAGAAAGCCGAAGCGGCTGCCAGTAAAAAGGCTGCGGAAGACTCCAAGCGCAGCGCAGAGGAGGACAAGCAATGGGCGAAGGGATCGAAGACCAACGCCAAGAAGTGAGCGAGCATGAGCTGAGCTGAATATGCGTGATCCATTGATGAAACTAATCTGTCCATAACAGAGAGGACGCCGAAGCCAAGAAAGCGGAAGCAGCGCGCAAGAAGGCCGAGCGAGACGCCCAACTCGCCGCCGAAGAAGCATCGCAGCCCTCGAAACCCAAAGGCGGCGGCGCCAAGACCGCACAGAAGAAAACACGGGGATTGGATCTTTCACAGCTGGACGACGGCTCTGCTGGCAAGAAGGGATCTTCACTCAGCGCTACGGGTATCGACAATGCCTTGGATGCGCTGTCTTTGACGGAGAAGGACAACAGCAAGATTGATCGGCACCCGGAACGTCGGTTCAAGGCTGCCTATGCGGCGTTTGAGGAGCGACGACTTCCTGAGATTGAGGAAGAGAATCCCGGTCTGCGGCGACAGCAGCGCATTGAGCTTTGCAGGAAGGAGTTTGAGAAGAGCGAGGAGAATCCGTTTAACCAGGCGCATGTACGGGCCAATGCGACCAAGGAGGAGATTGCTGCGGTGAAGGCGCAGGAGAGGCAGAAGGTGGAGTCGAGGTTGGGTGGAAAATAGACTGGGAAAAGACAAAAAGGTCATGTATAAGAGGTACGACGTTTATGATGATGGATTCTCTCAACTCAACTTTTGAGGAAGTTGAATCCTAAAAAGAAAAACAGGCATAGATTTTGAGAATCAAGTCCATGCAATGCACTTATATGAAGATGCAACGCCAGATATCATACAAGAAAGATTCATCCGTAGCAAAGAGATCTGTCTATACATACTCGGGTTGCTTGCTTGCACAGCAAGCCAACCAACCAGAGAGATACCAGTTCGATTCATGACATAACGCCTCGCACATCCCACACATAGAGGCTCTCATCCCATCCCACACTGGCGCACCACCCCTCACTCCCAAACAAACACCAGTCCACCCCGGTGACGAACTCAGTATGTCTGCCCATCCGCCCCAGCTCCGCACCGACGACCGGCCCAGCGGGCCCAGCGCGCATGAGATCTACATCTCCAACCGAAGCCGCGTCGGATCGGTCACTCCATACGCGGCAGGTCATGTCGTAGCTCGCGCTGAGCAGAACATTCGATAAATGAGGCGACCACGTCAGCTTGCGGACGGCGTACTCATGGCCGAGCATGGTAGCCATTGGGCCCTGTTGCGGGGCTCGAATGTCGAATGTGCGAATGGCACGGTCCACGCCCGCCGTTGCGAGGACGGTCGGCCTGTACTTGTTCCAGTCGTGGGTGAGGGCTTCGGCCGGCGGTGTGGAAGCCGGGATGCCCGGCGGCCTGCCGGGCATGGAGGACGCCGCAGGGGCAGCGTGGATGGGGATCTGGAGGGAGAGGTGGTTTGAAGCGGAGGCTGGCGTGCGCAGGTCGAAGACGCGCACGTACGAGTCCGAGGTGACGCAGGAGATCAGGTCTGGGTTGTGTGGGCAGAAGGCGGCGGAGTAGGTGCAGCTGTGTGTGGGGAGCGTGAGGAGGGACTGCGGGCGATGCGGCGACCACACGCGCACTGTGCCATCCCAGCTGCTGGAGCAGAAGCGGTCCTTGGCGACGAGGTTCCAGTTTACGCTGAACACTTCGCGGGAATGTTCTTTCCAGTTTTGGACGGGGTAGTCATTCGCTGTGCAGTCGAAGAGCTTGATGCTGCCGTCGCCTGATGCGGTGAGGACTTGGTTCTCGTGGATTTCGGACCAGGCGAGGTCGTAGAGGGAGTCTTGCGTTGTGAACCTGGGCCCCGTTGTTAGTGGAAGCCGCGGGGAAGACCGGAGAACTCACCATTTGACAGGCACAATCCCGTTCGGGGTCAGCTCGAGGATGAACAATCGTCCATTGCCGACCAGACCAAAGTTCGCGGAGCTGGCTACAGCCAGACGATTGTCGAAGAAGGGCGAGTACTTGACCGCACAGCCATTGTAGCCCTGTGTGCGAAAATGGAGCATATCGAGAGAGGTGATCGGGGAGACCGATCGGCTCCAAGGAGAAAAACAAAGAAAGAAACAGAAGAGAAGAAGTGAGAGCCTGCTCAGCAGTAGTCTAGGGTATCAATCAACAAAGCAGGTAACCGTCAGAGAGCATGGCGGCGTCGTCGGAGTGGCATCGGCATCATTGCGGGGAGGATCAGATGGGATGCCGAGGTAGATTCTTTGTTTTGACTGATGAAACACAGCGAGGTCGAACCTGATATCGTCTGGCAAGATGGCCGAGTTGGTCTATGGCGCACGGTTCAGGTCCACCCGAATCCGATTGGTTAACATCAATCTCCGTGTCTCGAAAGGGGCGTGGGTTCGAATCCCACTCTTGTCATTTCTCTTTTTGCATATCTGCCTGGTTTCTTGGTATTTATTTTTGCTGTCTACGAATGAAAGAGATCAAAGTAAATGGCTACAACTATTATTGTCGTGGTGGTGTAGCCAGCTATTATTCAATATTGAGTGATCGGAAAAGCGCTGGTTGAGCTAATTAGGACTGGCCGTCTCGAAGTATATATATATCTTGACGTCAACATTATTTTTTCCCCAGGCAAATTGACATTCGACAAATAGCTAAACCTAGGCCTTTTGAATTGCCTCCATATTAAGCTTATCAGCAATAAACAATGGTTAGTCAGACCCAGAGAATCAGTCTTGCCTCTCAGTCGCATGGAGTGGCTATGACGCCATGAATGGCCTGAACAGCACATCTTCAATGCCAGCATACCCGACACTCTTCTATTCTGTCGCAAATATCAAATAAGCCCGGATTTCCCTTTCTGTTCAAGCTGCACTCAAATGCGACTCCCACCATGGCAGAACCCGAGGATTTCAGATCACCAGCCAACCTATTTCTCCAACAAGAAGTCTACCGACTAGGCTCATCCGCAGGCCTGCGCTCCCTTCCCCAAGGCCCTGAGCGCGATTTCCTCACTTTAACCTGGGGGCCAGTCGTCTACCGCACCACCTACGCCCCAGAATGCAAACGCCTCCTCCGCGTCTTTTTGCGCTGCCTCAACGACGCCATCAGCCACTCCATAGCCCGCGAGCTACCCGGCTCAGACAAGCAGCTCCAGGTGCTAAAGAATACATACTCCTCCAAGGTCTTCAGCGCGGAAATGTACAACGGGTTAGACGAGGACGGCGTACGCAACGCATTCCATGATTTCAAGGTGTCGCTGGCCATACCCGCGATCGAGCTGCCAAGTAGACTCCGCGTGTGTTTGATGGTGGATGATATGGTGCTTTCGCACCTTAAGGGAGAGCTGGATCGGTCATCTAGGGCGGCAAAGGATGCTGATATAGATCGGTGTTGGGTCAAATTGGTCGAGGAAAATTTCCCGGACTCGAGGCTTGGGGATCAGCCCTATATTTGCGAGGTCGATGTGGATGGCGAGACGGATGGTGCGGGTGATTATCGGGGTGTATATCGGGGGTGGACGATGGTGGCCTTGACGGCGTTGATTGAGGTGTTTAAAAGTCTGGGGCAAATGCGGCATCTGCAGGAATATCACCGCGAGGGACGTATTTATTTGGGACAGGGTAAATGGAGTTTATAGCGATAGGAATATACTTGCATCCTGTGTACTTTAGAGCGAGAGAATCGAATGATGTATGAACAGGCCTTATGATTGGTCACTTTGCGAGGCATCACATCATGTGCCGATAAGATACAGTGTCTGCTCGTGTTTGTCCTCCCAGCCCAGAACAACATTTACCTCCTGGTAAGGAAGTAGTATGTGATGGATGCATTTGTTAAGAAGAAGCCCCGATTCTCTCATCCAGCCGATGAAACAGAAGATTCCACCGATGTCAAACTGGCCATCCTGGCATCGCTGTTTTCCGCAGTCAAGCAAGATGACTTGCTGGATATCCTCGTGTCCTGCAACGGGTCCGTAGAGGATGCATCATCACTGCTATCCTCGCAAGATCCCGCAAAATCACCGGGACCATCACCGGCTTCCAAGAAGCGGGCTGCTTCCGGGCCATCATCACTTGGCGTGCAGACATCTCTATCATCTCACATTCTCACAACCAGCAAAGATGGATCTCTCGTCCCCCTAAACGCAAGCAAGCAAAGAATACCACCCACCACCAAAGGAAAGACACTACACCTCTACAGCTTAGAGGACATCGCTGCTTACACACCCTGCACAATCATCCACAACTTCCTCCCGGCCGAGGAAGCAAACGCTCTCCTCCTCGAGCTACTCGATGAGTCAAAACATTTCTCACGATACGAGTTCCAGCTTTTCAACCGCACAGTACACAGCCCACACACCACCAGCGTGTATGTATCCACGCCTGAAGAACTCCGACAGCAGACATCAGAATATACCTACGGCGGAACTTACCGGTCAAATGTGCGGCAGGCGACCCCGCAACTACGTCGTGTCTCGCGCACAGTCCAGCGGACTGTCAATGAGGAGATCCAGAAACGGATCCGGGATGTATATCCCGATGGCAAGAAGCTCAAATATCAGTCTCCGAAGGAATGGAAACCCAACGCGGCATTTGTCAACTGCTACGATGGTCCGCAGGAGAGTGTGGGGTATCATTCCGACGAACTGACCTATCTCGGCCCACACCCGGTGATAGGGAGTCTGAGCTTGGGAGTTGAGCGAGAGTTTCGAGTTCGTCGAGTTATTCCCCAAGAAGAGGAGAACACAGAAGATGAAGAAAAAGCAAAGTCCCCTTCCGGTGATCGAAAAGCATCATCATCTTCTACCCGCGCAGACGCCCAAGGCCAAATATCAATCCACCTACCCCACAACTCTCTCCTAGTCATGCACGCCGAGATGCAAGAAGAATGGAAACACGCCATCACGCCTGCACAGACTATATCTCCGCATCCTGTTTCAGGAAACCGGCGTATCAACGTCACGTATCGATGGTACCGTGATTCTCTCCACCCTCGATACACGCCGCGATGTCGGTGTGGAGTGCATGCTATCTTGCGGTGTGCGCAACGGAAGAAGGAAACGAGGGGCCAGTACATGTGGATGTGTCATGCTTCGTTCACGCCTGGGAAGCAGGGGTGCTCGTTCTTCCAGTGGGCTGTGTTTGATGATGATGGCGAGCCGGTGTGGGATACGAAACGAGGTGAGGATAGTGATGGTAATGCGCCTAGATTGGATACTTTTTCGGGGTCACAATGAAATACTATGAGATATTATCCATTTGATGGAGTATGATAATGAAAGGTAGGTACAAGATTGATGATTCGCAATTTCCCAAAGAAAAGCAGAGCCTCCACTAAGATCTCCATAATCCCCCCAAGAGAAAGTGAAAACAAATACAAATCAGAAACTCCATTTCGGGATGAGTAGAAAATTCACAACCCCAGAGCGGAACCAGAACTACACACCATTCGAAGTTAGGCAGTCACGGTGTCAGCCCAGTCTTCCCGCGACATATGGTCACTCATTGTCAAGGCGTGTAGGGGGACGGCCCCTGCAAGTAGGGCCCAATGGTAGAAGCACTGCCTCACTGAAACCGAAAGAGTCGGCGTTGAGTTGCCCCAGCTAGACGTAAAATGAATCGAGGGGGAGTATTGAAGCTCCCATTGTCCGTTGGTATATATACTCCTCAAGAAAATGGTGTAGTTGTAGGTTGAAAGGAATGCGTAGTTGGTCTTGATATCATACATGTATGAAGCAACTTGGCCGAATTCTGTAGGCAGGAAATCTGTCTCCAGTTCCAGTTTCCCGAGATCATGGCTTTCGATCCACGGAGTCTTGAGCTCGCCAACTGCCTTCAGAGATCCAGTCCTAGTGATGAGCGCCATATCTGGAACCTTGGAGTATGCGGTAGCCATAGCCGAACATTTGAAATCAGCCAGCATCAGATCGACTTTCTGCGTCGTGAAGATGGCGTTGAGATGATGGCCAATGCCGTGGGCCATCCTGCCCTGCACGCCGTGCTCATCTCCCACCCTAAAGTTCTCGCTCTCGAGATTAGCATCAGTTGTGTATTTTACACGGGTCTTGTAGGATAACGCGGTTCCGGCCCAATTCTCAGAACGGTACCTCTGAGAAACATGTTGGCGAAAATTGGGCCACTGAACCAGGCGACCCTGAAACTTAATGCTGTGCCAGGCTGGAGATTTCGTACCAAACTGGGTCAGCTGGAGCTCTGGAAGAGCTCTTTGTATCAGCTCCTTGGAGTTGACCTGTGACATGGTTGCAGAAGGCTGTGTTGAGTTTTCTTGAAGAAAAGCTAGCGTGTGAGAGGAAGTGGTGAGAGACGAAGTGGTAGAAGAAGAAAACAGAAGATTAACAGCAAAGGTATATCAACATTAATGGCGGCACTTGCCTTCTATCTATCTATCAATCAATCAATCAATCAATCAAAGTTCTATTAACCTGATGGAGCCTAACTAGTTGTGCTGTGGCTATGCAGGCACTTCTTCCAAATCTAAGCAGAACTTGGTGTCCCAAATCCAGATTTGCTGTTTGCAATAAACAGTCATACAAAGGAAAACCTGGCTACGGAGGCCAGCACAGAAAAGAGCGTATCCAACCCCAGACAAAATCATAGCCCAGAAGTACAAAAAGCCCACACTATTCCCCTTCTTCTACTTCCCCTCGTCCCCGTAGTATTCTCCCGCTCTCTCTCGTTAGTTTGTCCCTAAGTGCTTCGAATTCTCCTTCAGTAGGCCGCTCTTCTTCTACTTAAGGCCTTTAGTAGTATAATCCTTCTGATTCGTATCTCCTTTAGCTTCCGTTTAGTTTTAAGACTATTAGGTACGGTCTAAGGTACTCTAGTCTAGATCCGGATAGATATTTCTTCGATAACTTATTATATAAGGAGGTTAATTAGCGTAAGGAATAATTCGTATTCGAGTGCTTCGGCGGACGTGCTTTTAAACGCACTACTAATCATTAGTACCGCGCGCATTTAAATCCTTATGAACCCTCTAATGATCCTTAATTGTTATATAGTTAGCTTATTGCTACTTATAGGGCTACACCACGCTGTAAGGCCCCAAAAGAGTTGTAGAATGACTACGGCCCTATAAATCTTGCGTATCAACGATAGTGATGTACCCTATGTGGATCTAGTGATTCCGCGGAAGGCCTCTAAGCTACTATTGGCCTTTGCCATGACTTTATTGCGATGCGTTGAGAAATCGAGGTGTTTATCAAACTAGACACTGAAGTATTTGGCTTGTGGCGATGCTGTGATCGTCTATCCTAGTAGATGTAAAGGCAACTAGTCGTTCCCTTCCTCCGCTCGAAACTCGTATATGTCAACTTCTAGTGTTGCCACTAGTGTTGTCGGTGCTAGTGTCGATGTTGGTGTCGTCGTTGGTGTGGTCATTGGAGCTAGTATCAGTGCTAGTGACCAGTCCCTAGCGCGGCTTGCTGAAATGAATGAGCTCAAACTTGTCTGGCGCAAATTTGGCGTCCTTGCCTTCTACAATATATATGCATCTTCAGGGTTGTGGTAGAAACATCTTCTTAGTTACAAAGTTGTAAGACATGATAATGATAGCAAGAAGTACAGTGAGACATCCACTAGCAAATCCCAGCATGCATCATTTAAGATCACTACTAGTTTGTTCCTTCAAATGCCATGCAGCGAGAATCCCGTCATCTGTCTGGGTTCCCGGGCCGACCTCGATGCAGCGGTAGAAATCGACGAAATACACTTTCGCGTTGTCGCGATCCCAGATCAGGTTCTTTGGTGTGCCGAAGAAGGGAAGGAAGCCGAATTCCCGAAGGCGTCTGGTAGTATTTTGTTAAAAAGCCCATTCTGCCAACCCAAGGAACTGTACTTACTTGTAACCCTGCAAGAAGTTTTCCCGAATCAGATTTTGCTCCGCCTCATCGAGCTTCAAGAATTGCTTGTGGGAAACATGGTCGCCCAAACGCAGCCCAGGAACGATCTCCCAAACAAGGATCACTAAGAACTCCCCCGGCACGGGCATGTCATCGTCTTGGATCGTATCCTTGTATCCAAGCAAAGCGGGAGTGATGGTCGAGCCTTCCTCGTTGAACTTCAGGAATGCAAGCGCCTCCCGGGGAGTGACTTGTGTGGCTTGCTTAGCTCTCTTGGACGGCGGCTCATACTCAGTACCGATCATAGGGACCTGCATGTAAATCCTCATGTGGGCATACCGAGAAGTGTCGAGGGTGTTCTCGCATAGGAACAGGCCTGCAGCGTAAGACTTGGCTCCGCCGTTAGTTTCTGTCTTGTCGACCCGACTGCATTTTTCGCCCAGCTTCTGGACGATACGCCAGGTGTTGTGCTTGGGCTGTTTGAAATCGACCTGCGTTTCGTTGTTGAAGTGATAATCGCTGAGAAACTGGATGGAGGACATTTTGGCAACAGGAACAAGATGACAGAGATTGGAGGGAGTGGAGAGAGTGAGTGAGAGGGATGGCAAACGCAGGTTGGGAATCCCATATATATGCGTCCATACGTAATGTTCTGCACTAAGCCGCGTTGGGTCTATGAAAGGTTCCCTCTTACATCATGTCTACCATACAACTAGCTTGAGACAATCAAAGTATAGTTGAGTAAACAAGTTTGCTTCTGTCTCTCACCACAATTTCTCTCCATTTCCTCTGATATGGAGGAATCGGTAGTTTCGTTACAGTCCCAGAGACGGTCCGGCTCGTGGGATCGAGAAGAGGGCAAGCGATGGAGATCGCAAGACAAGACACAAACAGCACACGCCACAGGCTTCAGGATAATAAACCATGAATGCCAGATTGGCCAGGTGAGAGGGCAACGAGAGACAGACGAGAAAGGGGGAGGATGGGCGGATGGGAGGTGGAAGGTGGGAAGAGGCCAGCCGGCGGAATCAGTTCATCTGTAAGTAAGTGTTTCTGGATCCACTTAGCATCATGTATGAAGCGATTTGGCCAGAGGTGATGGGTAGGAAACCGTCGTTCATGTCCGCGATATTTATCCAACAATATTTTAGCCAGGGCACACAGGTGAGCGTGGTTCGAGATACTATAAGCGTGGTTCGAGAATTTGACCTACATACCCCTTTCTTTCGAACCTCGATCAGGGTTAAAACCCTTAGTTCGACCCATGATCATCTAAATTAGTTGCTCGAACCACGTTCCGACCTTTTTCGACTCACGCTCAACTAAAACCCGGTTTAGCAGGTAGTGCACACATAGCAGATGCGCGGTCAGCAGGTACACAACTGTATGAGGATCTAGTAAAATAGAGAGTCTTCCAAAAGTGAGGCTCCTACTAAAACACTATGTAGTCCTACTAAGATTAACTAGTTAACTAAGTAAAAGCAACTACAAATCAGAAGCTCTCTCCTCGCGATCAGTGCTCTGGGGTTGATCGACCCACTGGTCGATCAACCCCAGAGCGGACCTAAGCCGCATAGATATGCGGGGAAGAACCATCGCAGGAACACTCTTCAGCCCCTAAGATCAACGAAGTCCGATATTCTATTCACATAGCCTTCTAATCCTCACAATTTCACGCTAAATTTAAGCCCTGCAATGACAGGCTATTGGATGCTCATAACTCGCTTTCATAGGCTACGTTTCATCTGCACCGTGATAGGGCTACTGTATACCCTGTCCTGACCAACCCCTCATTCTGGGTAAAGCGGAATCTCGTTCCGCCTTCCTGTGTTACTTTTATAAAAAGACCGCGGTTGTGGTTGGTGAGACAATTGAGATTTTGAATTATTCTGAATTGACTATTTACACACACACATCATGGGCTCTGTGGAAGACTCTGAGAGTACATTTGACTATATTGTCTGCGGGTAAGTAGCAGCTCTATTTCAGACATGTCCGCTAATTGACCATAGGGGCGGCACGTCCGGCTGCGTCGTTGCTGGACGACTGGCCGAGAACCCGGATGTCAAGATCTTGCTTCTCGAAGCTGGGCCTCATAATAAAGATCTTGAGAATGTCCATATGACAGGCGGGTCGGTAGCTCCTCAACATTTCACGGACGAAGCTCACTGCATAGCACAGATGGTCGAACCTCTTCGACTCCGAAACAGACTGGAATGTAATCACGCCGCCCATGGCTGGTGTTGATAACCGCCAGGTAAAGCTCAGCAGAGGCCGGTTTCTAGGCGGATGCAGCGGATGTAATGGCACGCTCTGCATCCGCGGCTGTCGACAGGATTATGACGATTGGGGCCTGGACGGATGGAGTGGCGATGAGTTCTTCAAGTATATGAGGAAGGTGAGGGATCTTATACCTAGACAATTGTGCAGTTTCAGAACTAACATTCCTCCATCAGGCCGAGACATTCCATCCCAAGGACTGGTTCAAAGCAGACAAAGATAGCCATGGTTACACCGGTCCTCTCCACACCGAGCCGCATGACCTGGCTCCAATATCGCAGCTGTTGATGGATTCGTTCGTCTCACAGGGCCTGCCTTTAAACCATGATATGTTCAGCACAGGAGCTGTTTCGCATGGCTGTGGCCATGTTCCTCGTACGGTGTACAAGGGGAGTCGCACAACCGGCGCTGATTTTGTGACGAACAAGAATCATAGGGGGAATATCACCATCGCGACTGACTCGATTGTAGACAAGGTCATTTTTACGCATGAGGCGGATGAGACCCGCGCAACTGGTGTGGTGGTCAAGAGCTCTGACGACAGTTCCAAGACATACTATGCTCGTAAGGAGATTGTTGTTTCCGGTGGAGCATATTGCAGCCCTGCTATTCTTCTCCGGTCTGGTATCGGTCCAAGAGAAGAACTGGAGAAGCACAGCATCCCATGCACAATGGATCTACCAGGTGTAGGAAAGAACTTGATGGACCATCTAGTAAGTAACCAGCTCAAATACTTCTGCAAACACTAACTGACCCAACTATTAGATCGTCTTCATGTTCTACGAAACTGAGAAGCCGGGTATAACAAACGACCACCACGTCTACCACGACAACAACTTCACAAAAACATACACAGAATGGAAAGAACAGAAAAAGGGCTTTCTTTCCACTTTCCCCTTCGGCTCTTTCGCATTCGCGCGACTAGACTCCCGCCTCTCCGACTCAGACCTCTGGACCACATCTCCGCGCGCAACCGGCCGAGACCCCATGGGCCTCACACCCAGCCAACCCAACATTGAATTCTTCACGACAGAATGCTACGGCGGCCCGAAACAGTACAACGAATTCCCGATTAATAACAAGCACGCCTTCTCCATGATCGCGGAGCTGTTCGCGCCGAAGTCTAGAGGGAGCGTTACTCTAAACTCGAAAGATGCCATGGAGAACCCCATTGTGGATTGTAATTATCTGGACGATCCGCTCGATTTATTGGTTATCAGTGAGGCCTGCAGGTTTGGGAATGAGATTGTGATGAATGGGGCGGGCACGAAGGATGTTGTCAAGGGGGCTTGGCCGGCGGATTTGAAGCACCATACCTATAAGACGAGGGAGGAGTGGGTTCCTTATGTTAAGGAGCATGCTACTACTTGTAAGTTCTTGGGTTTGGTGAGTGATACTTTGGGAGATATGTACTGACTGGGGGTTCATAGGTTACCATGCGGCTGGGACATGTGCTATGGGCAGGGATGATAATAAAATGGCTGTTCTGGATGAGAAGTTGAGGGTTAAAGGTGTTACCGGGCTGAGGGTTGCGGATTGTAGTGTTATGCCTACGTTGCATGGAGGGCATACGCAGATGCCAGCGTATGGGATTGGAGAGAAGTGTGCAGACCTAATTAAGGAGACTTGGTAAGGGGCGGGAATGTTGATAGTATGAGTTTATGGATGTGAATTTTCGCAGATATCTATCTGTGTTCAATGAATGTAAACCGCTGTCGGGAACTTGGACTCTTGAGTATGAATGAAAACAGTTATCCAAACTTGCAAGACTCTGATGGTAATTATGCACCGACGACTAATAACGGGAGCCGATAAAAATATAAGAATATCCAACCAACACAACTCAGACGGACGTTGACGATTCAAATACTCTCTTCCGTGCCCAAACTGATACTGACTGTGTCATCCTGCTCTGACGGGATTGCGAATTTCTCAGGATCCCAAGATGCAATCGGAGCTGCGGAGTCATTTCGAAAAACTGAGCAGTGACTTTCCAAGTGAACGATGTTGTACGCTGGTAACAGCGCATGTCTGTAATCAAGGCAAGCAGTCAAGATATGCTGGCTAATCTCTGCAGCGGAGCACTCCTTCAACAAAGCGTTGATCTCGACCATCAACGCGTCGATAATAATTGAATGATGACCTCGATATTTCGTGACGTGACATATCGGAGAGGTATGCCACGAGTTGCTGGCAGCCAAGCCCACCTGAACAGGAACGGTCCAAGTCTCCCCCGGCCGTAGGACTGGCAGATGACAACCCTCAATGATTGACAGAATCTGACAGGCAAATCCGGGATGTAGAGAAAGTCTCAGATCAGAGATGCCTCCAGGGTTTATTCCAGTGCGAAGTTGGCGAACAATTTTGGAAACCTTGCGCATGAAGTGCACTTCCTGAGTTTGTGGGTCGTCCGTGCTGGGGCTATAGGAAATGTGCCAGCCAGGTGGATGTGTTGGGTTTTCCAAGGGAAGACACTGCTGGGGCGCGACAGTATGGAACCCAATTGCCTCGTCAATCAGAGGCATCGACAGGCGCTCCGGAGGCGTCGCAGAAATGAACACCATATGACAGAAAGCAGATCTGGGGGAGAGACGGAAAATCAGAGAGAGCTGGTGGATGGCATGGGCCAAGTCAGCCTTCTTGCGGCTGACGTTCATCCGCTCACGCAGTGAGAAGGCTTCCAATACAGAATGAGACACTTCGAAAGGATGGAATCCTAACGGCAGAAGCAGCTCAAAACCATACGTTGTGTTACTGTCAACACGAGCCAAGCCGATTCTGTCATGGTTGAATACTAGATTCGAGGCCAGGACCGAAGACCCGAGGATCATCTGCGTTACTAGGTGGAGCGACGTGTGTGGTCTATGATAGAATGAGCATTTACTACGAGACACCAAATGGCGACACTTACACATTGTCAAGAAGAATGACCAAGTCAAGAGGAGCGAGAGCCGTAGTTTCGGGGAGGTTGATGGGGCTGACATCGGCACTCACGTTGATGGTGGTCCAGGTTGACACGGGACCCATACCGAGTTTGGAGGCGCTTGCATTCAGAGTCATATTGACGAAGGTCATGGGAAGATCCAACGGACGCATATAGATTGGATCAGATCTGCCAGAATTGCTGGAGAAAGGCGTCGGCAAGTCTGGCCGGCGAACCTCGCGGAAAGTGGGAGGTTGTGAATCACCAGAGGTTGATCCGGACGAGTGACGGGACTTCAGAGAGTCATAAGACCCGGTACTGTAGCGAACGCAGAGACGCCGGGCTTTCCGGTCCTTGCTCGAGGATACAATGAGATTTGCGCCCTGCTCTCTGTCAGCAAAAAGACAAAATTCAAGGAGGAAAGACACTCACTCGATCGATGAATGGGTCTTCTGTCTCGCTAATACCCTGTTTTCGGGCATTCCCACCAGGCTGCCGAACCTTCAACACCTTAAGACGATAGGAATCGCTATAAGAAGGAGTCCTCGTTCTCAATGAAGGCGCAAGCTGATTCAAAACAAAACTCCCACTGGCAGCGAGTGACGAAGACCGACGAGGAATAGAGGGATAGGAATACAAAGTCGATAACGAGCTGAACCTGCTGTCATGCGACACGCGATGCTTGATGACGGTAAGAGGCTCCGGCATGGTGGTCTTCATGGTTTCCGGTCGATTAGACGTGCTCCAGTCCGATGACCGGGCGTTCGTGTTCGAGCGGGATGTCGGACGACTCGGTTGCTCGGGTCGTGGAGCAGTCGTCAGGATCGAACCAGGTCTGGCGTTCCTTGGCCTCCTTTTTCTTTCGGCGACAGAGACGAGAGAACCACGATGGACCGTGTGGATGGTTACTCCAGAACTCGGAGCAGGCGAGGGCGATGGCGACGGTGCAGAAGAGGATGACGATAGGAACAAGAACCAATGCGATCAGTAAGGCAGAACTCTTAAAATCCAAGGATAAGGTGCTGGGCATCTTGTGCGGATGGAGATGGATGAAGTAGAAGAGAAGAGAGCAGAAGAAGAAGGGAGAGAAAGAGAGAGAGGAAAGAGCGAGTCATATTGGGTATATCGATCATTAAGCACCGCCTTCTACCATCGCCGCCACCTTCTCCTTGACGGACTCCAGCGTCTCCTCGTCCAGCCGCGAAAACCGTATCTGCGCGCCTCATTAGCATGCGGTGCAAACTTGAGTCGCAACTAAAAGAAACTCACCGCTTCATCACTCCCACGACCGGCATTCCCAAACAGCATAGGGTCCGAGTAGCTCGTCTCAATCTCACGCTGTACCCGTCGAGCCCAGATGCCATCCCAATGCCAGTCTCCCGGCTGTCGAGCCTGCGGGTCTCCTCGTTTCAAATCCTCCGGCCCAGTGCCGCCCCCACGATGCGCCTTCCACGCGTGCCATGCCCCAGGGTTCCCAGCAGCCTCGACCGGCAAGGAGTCCAGAACATCTTCGTCGTCGAACGTTGAGCGCATATACTCGAGAATCTCGAGTACGGGCACAGCCTTCTTTGGTTGTGTGAATTGATCAATTGACGGCACTGTGGCAACGCGCTGCTCGTTTTTATCTCCTTTATCTTCTTTTGGGTTCGAGTCCTTCGTGGCTGAGGTTGGATCGCTGGCGTTATTTCCGCTTACATTCCGCGATGACGCCTGGGATGTCAAGCCGCTGCGTCGCGCTCTCCCGAACCAGTGTGGAAACCCATGACGAAGACTGAACCCTCCCGGCGGTAGTCGTTCCTCGTCTGTTGCACTGACCGGGTTGTCGCTTGTCGAGTTGGTGCTGAAGGTGTAGGTGGTCAGGGGTACGATCAATGGGTGAAAGACATCCGTCGCAAACGTGACTAGTGGTGGTAGGTCGGGGTAGGAATCCGGGAAGCGGATTTGGAAGCGAAGGATGGCGGACGCATAGGGGCCTGAGGGTCCAGTCAGTCGCAACGTTACTGATTGTCGGTTTCGAGACTCACCGGAGCGGACGAAGATGACACCATTCCAGAGCGTGGGGTCGCCGGTTGACAGGCTCACGTAGACGCCCGGTGGTGGTGCATGCTTCAGACTGGCACTGCATGGTATGAATATTTTGAAGGGCATCAGGGCTTGGGGACACTTACAATTCCAGATGAAGCTGCTGCCGTCGCAGGGAAGGAATGCAGGGTAGTTTGGATGTCGACATGTTGTAAGAGAGAAGAAGAGAGAGACAGAAAGGGATGCTTATCGCCTTATCACCGACCACGACCATCCAAACCCTAACATGGACCCTGGTACATACTAACCCCAACGCTGAGTTTTTTATATACCCTAAGAATATTTCGAATTACTAGAATAGCCTTGAACAAGGTGAAATCGCCTGAAATTGTCAACCGGCGACACCGACGTGCCTTGAGGTATGGGAGGGGCCATTGTTGGGGTTGTTTAATTGGTTGTGTTGGTTTTCTATGTTGATTTGACTTCCCATGCTATTTGACGTCTGTGTTGTTTGTTATCGCGGCCGTATGGGCCTTTCATGCAAGCCCTCTATGAGCAATAGTTGCGCTTTCTATTCTCATTTCTCGCTCTTCCTTTTTCTCTTCATCTTTCTACAACATCCAGTGGACTTTGGCCGTTCACTCACTACTGGCACCTTCTGTCGCCTATTATTCCCATGCTCTGTCTAGGTATGTTCCTGATCTTGTCGTCCTCTCTTTCCTGCTCTAGTTCTAAGCACTTCCAATGCTTCTGGAACAATGCGGGGACTTGCCCTGAGATGATTGACAGTGTTGATTGGTTATGAACATTTAGCTCACCCGGGGAAATAGAACGAAGCTCTCTCGATAATTCACCGAAGAGGAATTCTCCGGGATCGACAGTGCGAAAACAGGAGCATATCGAGTTAATTTAATCTAGTTACTCACTCAATCCACAATAATCAAGTGTTTTTTCGGCATCCGGTGTACTAGCCAACCAGAGAAACAAAACGCAGCCTTGTGGCAACTCTGTCCGTGTCTCTCGGTACCTGGCGCAACCCCACGCTTTTTCAAGCCTTCACGCACCCAGGAAGACCCCGCAAATGTTAAAGGCGGAGATTTGCGGAGAAATGACAGACAAGGAAGGTCAATTCAATGATCTCAATCTGAACAGACAGACACATAAATACGCTATGGCAACCCCAACATTCCTGCCGATCCTAGCGGGTAGAGCAATTCCCGATCACGTCTATCACTCTCTTTTGATCATCCACCATGCGATTCGAGATTGGCACTGCTGCAGCTATCGCGGCTGCGTGGGCGCCGCTGGCCAACGCTGCTCCGCAGGGTGCAGAGCCCGCTGCGCCGAATAATTTCTGGGAGGCTCATGGCCATGAGGGGTCCTACACATTCACGTCGATGACATCGACGCGCTATGCGACGCCTTTGCCGCGCACCAAGCCAGTGACGACCTACATGCCGGCCGCGTCCATGTCGGCGATCATGCCTTCGGGCGTGAAGACCACCACCTGGAACAAGAACGACGCCAGCGCATCTGACTGGAATAACCCTTACGGCCAAGCGGAGTGGAACCGCCGCTGGGCCACTTTCATGCCCAATGTGTCCATCTCCACCGCAAGCATTACGACCACCGTGCAGCCCACTCCGGTGCCATCGTCCTCGTTGATTATGCCGCCGCCGGCTGGCTTC